TTTAACTTTTCATATAATTTCCATACAGCAAAAATTCCAATTAACATATTAATTTACTTTCTACTAAGTTGATTACGAAAGTTCATTAACTACGACTAAAATTCGTGAAAATAATTCGCAAAAAGGATTTATTAACTTAATATTAACTATTATTTTTCAGTGTGTGTGAGCCCACAAACTTTGAAACCTTTTCAGTCAAATCCAGGGAGTAACTAAAAAATCAATGCATCTCACATTGGTGATTATGGTTCCATACAGGGAAAAGCTGATATCATATAAAAATATAAATTTAGCATTATACATATAAAGCTATGAGACGTTTTGCATTTGAATTATGAAAATATAATGCGCATTTTACTATTGAATTTTCATAAACTAGAAATAAATAATAGATTTTAGATTTTAAAGAATACTTTTGAGCTAGAAATAAATAAAATAAACCCTAAATATCACATACAAATGTCATGTTTGATATTTAGAGAATGATTCTAGTTAGAGAGGGATGAAACTGTTTTTAAAACATTCTCTACCATATTTTATGAAACTTCTTTGTCAATGGAATCCAAGAATAGAATGAACAGAATGCAATCTCTGAAATATTTTCAAAATTTATAATAAATAAACTAAACAAAAGATATCAAATTTTATTAGATTGAAGTATTTAAATTCTTAGTTTTTTTTTCTTTTTTTTTCTTTTTTTCTTTTTTTTTCATATTTTACAAACGCTTAAGGTCTCCAACTTTGCTTAGTACGGCGAAAATCTTTATTATTGGTTGCTTGCGTAACTATACTACCCAATGGGGTGAAGTTGCCACGGCATTCAAATAGTCCATATACACTGATACCATACATGCAGTTATCATTGTTTTAATTAAATTATCATGGTATTAAGAACATTTAAATATTTTTAATTCATACAAATTGTTGCTTATTATGCATTTAACTATACTTACATATGAATTATCTAGAAACTTGCAAACGTTGATAAATTAAAGGAGACAAAACCATCTAACGAATTGTGCGTAGTACATCTCATTAGGCAGGTTTACTCAAAATCCTATGCTAAATATTTTTTCGCGTAAAGAGTTGAAACTTTTGCCCGATTTTATTCCGACATTATATATTAAACTGAATTTTCAGCTGAACGCAAATTGAGCGTGTTAGAGGGAACGTGAACATTTGTTTGCATTAGCAATCACCTGTTTTTGAAATGGTTTACATAATAAATAATAAAGCGAATGGCAACAACTTTCCAACGGAATTTTTAAATAGTGTGTCGCCTTCTGGCATGCCACCTCACAAATTGAGGTTAAAGATTGGAGCAATTATTATGCTATTAAGAAATCTTAAACCAGATGGGTTCTTTGCAATGGTACAAGACTAGAGGTTCTCCAACTGAAAAATAATGTCATAATAACTAAGTCTTTGACTGGCTCCTCTAAAGGTGAAATACATGTCATTCCAAGAATTGATTTGGATGCACCTCAAACAGGGTTGCCGTTTCAATTGAGACGTAGACAATTTCCTGTAAAACTTGCCTTTGCTATGACCATCAATAAGTCTCAGGGTCAAACGCTTAAGCATGTTGGCATTTTTTTACCTGAGCCTGCATTTGTACACGGTCAACTTTATGTTGCCTGTTCAAGAGTTCGTGAAAGAACGGACGTAAAATTAAAAATAATTGATGGTTCTCTGAAAGGCGAGCTTAAAAATGATGGAAAGATCTACACAAGAAATGCTGTGTACAAAGAGATCTTTGACATGTGAATTAACATTTTATTATTTAAATCACCTTTATTTATTGAGCTAGCGGTGGCTCTTAAGAAATGTACCGCCAGTGGTTTCCTTCGTTGCACTCTACTTTAATCAATTAAGCAACTAGAAAGGGGAAACCCCGTGGGGCAGTAAAAAAAAGGGGGGGGGCGTTCTCGCCGCCTGCCCTGGGACAAGACACCTTTACACAAATCATTTTAATTACAATTTATAATATCTAGAGCAGCGGTCATTTCGTATGGCCGCCGGGCTTTCTAATATATGTATTGGGAAGATTTTCTAGTATATGTATTGAAACTAATTGGGAAGATTTTGCTTGGACGTATTGGAAAGCTGTCTGATGCCGGAAAATAATTATGGTTGTTTTTTCAACGAAACAATTGTTCTTCTTGTAGAGTTAATTGAGGTTACATCAAACGAAGACGCAGATATTATGAGTGTGTTGTGACGTCAAGCTTATCTATAACTGGCGTGATATCGCACTTCCGAGTGATAGTTTCACGCTCGATGGGATAATACTCAAGTGTCTATTTTTTCCATATAGCCGTTATGTAAATAAAATACTTATCACATTTTTCCAGCCTTCATTTTGTGCAAGGTGAAAAGAAAATACAAGGCTTCCCTCAAGTATAATTAAATATTTTTAATTCTTGGATAAAAAGAGATCCTTATCGGATTCTCTAGAAATGTATAGAGCATTTTTCAAAACTAAAATTAATCGAAGCCTGGGTATTACCTGCGCTTGAAATCCCCAGTTATTGTAATTAAAAACTTATTAATCTTATTTTGCTTTCTTTTTTATTATTAGTAATTTCTATGCTATGTTCGGGGCTTATTATATTTTGATTTAGCTAACTCCTTTTCTTAGTTGATTTCTTCTTTTAGTTGTATCGTTACAATAAAAATGTTTTAATCAAGATGTGTTTAAAAACGTATGCTCGTGTTAAAATTTTCTTTGCCAAAAGTTTGCATTTTTTCTAAATATTTCTAGGTTTTTGTAATTCACTATATTACCACTTCCTTTTGCAAAACATTTTTTTAAAACCTAAATATAGCACCAGATATGTGCCCTTTTCCGTTCTTCTAATACAATATCTACAATACAGTGATTATTTCTGCCGCTCATCAAGCTTATAAAATATTTCTCCCGTCTTCTTAGCATGCCTTCGTGGTGTAGTGGTCTGCACGCTGGGCGCGTATTCCAGAGGTCTGTGGTTCGATTTCCGGCGAAGGCGTTGCCAGTTTTTCATCACTCCTGCTCTAAAAATAGCCTAATGTCTCTACAATGGCGCTCGAACTAAAAGGGTGATGGATGGTGATTCTCCACATCCAGGATTTGGCGATTGGGTCTCCTAAAAAAAAACCCAGTCGCTATTTAAAAGGGGGAGTATATAAGGTATTTCTCCCGCCGAAGGCGTAACTCATTTTTCATCACTCTTGCTCTAAAAACAGCCTAATGTCTCTATAAGCTTTCTTATTACATGCATTAAAATATCTGAAAATACAGATGGCATTTCATCGAAGGAAATAAAAGTCTTTGCGTACTTTTAACCAACCACGATATATCTTCGAGTTGTTAGAAAAGTTATTAGTATAGAGTAGTTAGAAATAATTCATTGGTGAAAACATGTATCGATTGTGGAAGGAGAAACATTAGGTTTCTTTTGAAGATATGTGAATACCAGTTCCGCCTTTTCTGTAAGTGACAGTTCCACAAAGACTCGGTTTCGATTAAAGAAACAGAAAGAAACATTTACAGCATTTTGTAGAAACTAATCTTCAATTCTTTATAATAAGAACACTTTTTTTAGAACAATATTTGTTTCTCTCTCGCTTTAGAATTTCATCTTACCTCAAACTTTAAATTGAATCCAGATTTGTTAACAGTGACCATGATTTTCTTAACAGTTCTGATTGGATTAGAAACTCTCAAAAAATTTAACTTATTCATTTTGATATTTCAGTCGCTGTTCCTCGAGTCAAATTTATTTACACAAGGGTACAATTTTTTTATTAAGTACAATCAGTCACAAATGTCTACATACAGCACATTTAATTAGTGTTAAAGAAGCTATATAAAAACTTATTAATGGAAAATTTGAATGCTGTTCTTAAGAAAGAAAAATATTCAATACAAAGTAATCGAAATTAAAGAAATTTAATAACAAGAATATTATTTAAGCTTACTACTTTGTTACAAAAGCCTATATTTAAAAAAGGTAAGTAGCAAATATCAGTTTTAAAAAACACAATGTTCTGAAAATATACATTTTATATCATAATCTTTAAACAAAATATAAACAAAAACTTACCGCAAGGTTCTGTAATGCAGTATTTTATTTTAATTTGCAAGACTTGCCCATTTTGCAGTTCTGAAAATTGTTACACTTTACAGGAGCAATCTCCTAATTTGGATTTGGTTTGGTAGATTACGGCAAATCACACTACCGCTATCTGCCTAAGAGGAGGGATGCCTTCGTGCAGGACATTTTAAGGGAAACTAGCTCGTATACACGTTATACATGACTACGAAAATGCCCATGCAGCCAGCCTAACATCGGACCGAACTACCAGTGTTCAGCAATTTTTGCGCTCGGCTGCTGGTGGACCCTTATCGATATATATGCAAGCTATCAAGGACTTCGTATTTCTATGCTTTTAATTCAAAAGTATTAAAGCTTTTAATTCAAAAGTATTCTAATTCAAAAGTATGTTAGCTGATTTAATCTTCGTGTGGCGTAATTTATCTCCTAATAATGATACTAAACAGAAAATAGTTTATAGTCTATAGTTTAAGAGAGAAACTAAATTTTATTAATCCCCATTATTATGAAGACTATAGTTTTTTTATTTACATCTCCGAAGATGCTGCAAATCTGAAGTAACGCCTAAGAATACCGAACTTAGTATTACCGAACGTTAGAATAAACCTGTAACAGGTTGCAACTGTTACAAGTTGTGTAAATTTTTACAAGAGCTACTGAAATGTAATAAAAAATAAAGTCAAAACTGGCAAGTGCTTGTTCTAGCCTTCGGATTCATAAACTCAAAAACGCCGCAAGCCATTTTTAAAATAAAGATTTTTCTAGTTTTGTCATTTTGATATATGCCACAAGGAACTTTCGCAGTTCATTCAATTTATAGCATAAAGTATTTGCTTTCTCAAAAACTATTGGGATCAGATAAGGTCATTTAATAAACGAAAACTTTTTGGTTTGATCTTTCAGTTCTCGAATGCCCGCCTCTTGTGTCTGACAGCTCACACCTGATTCTGACTACAAGAAACAGAACGTACGGCACAAGAGTTGAATTCTCTTGTCAGACTGGTTTCAAGCTGTCAGGAGCACCATACCTCAATTGTCTCAAAACGGCTAACTGGTCTGATGCTACACCAACCTGTAATCGTAAGTTTGGATTTTGCTTTCAATTACAATTCTCTCATTTTTATAATTTAGCCTGATTTTTATAATTTAAATTAATTAATCTCATTTGTAGACTTTTTTTAAGAATTTGAAAATTTGTGTAGTATTATAACATTTAAAAACAAATGCAGTACAACTCGCTTATAACGAACCCTGATTTAACGAGAACCCGGATTTAACGAGGAGATCGAATATACTTCGTTGGTACAGTGTTTAGTCTATAGGAGCATAACTCGCTTTTAACAAGCAAATCCCGGTTATAGAGAGCAACAGTTTTGTTATTCATAAAATTTCTATTGAATTTCACCTCTCCAGTTCAGCTAATCTTTTCTTGGAAAAATTTCTTTAATATTCCGAAGTCAAACGAAAGTTAGTGACGAGTCATAAATTCTGCGTGTAAGTAAATGGCGGACTTTTTTTATCTTGGAGTGTGATCAGGATTCAAATTTTTTCACCGTATTCTACAAGCGTTACCTAGCCTATGGGCCAAGAGATCATCAGAAGTTTTAAATCAAACTTTCGTAAGCTTTTGATGATTTTGATGCATCTTGACAGAAGTGAAAATATAGGAACAACCTCAAATGCGTAAATCTACTCGAAGCGATACGTTGAATGAACAATGCATGAGAAAACGTTACATCAACATGCATTACCAATTGCTTAAGGCCGGACTGGACATTTCGCAAGAGCGGCATTGGAATACAGTAGAGAAGAATTTGAAAATTATTATATCTGTTGACGCCAATGTTATCACTTCTCAGATATCTACTCTCGAGGATATAGATATTGTAGCTGAAATTCAAGCTAAAGCAGATAAAAAACGCAATGAAAGCGACGATAATAATGATGAATGTGGAGAATTTCAAGCTGAGTCGAGCTCAACATATTCAATGGCTTTTGAGTGCGCAGAAAATCTTCAAATATTTTTCGAAGCCAGGGGTACAAATGACGATGTGTTGTGTCGCGAATTTTTAAGTGTTTTCATGTTTTTAAGTTATCAATAATTAAGTATTTTTTATTTGTATCTCATTTAAATTTGATATTGTAAAGAATGCATTTGTAAGTGTTAAAGCGTTATCGGGTTTTTTTTTTTTTTTTTTTTTTTTTTTTCCCAAAGGTAGAATTTAGTAACTAAGACAAGATGCCTTTCTTTTGAGCATTTCTCTGAAAAGAAATGACATCTGTTTAAAGATTTTTGCTAATAGTAGAACCAAGGGCAGTATAGTGTGTTTTCGAACGTCTTTCCTGGGGAGTTTTTTGCTAATGGGCAGTAAAAGGAAGTCGTAAATTGGCTTATTCACTTGCATTCTCGTTTTGTATATGTTGCAAGGGTTAAATACACTCACGTCCAAAAGTTTAGCACGAAGATGTAAAATGCAAAAAAAAAGTCAACAAATACTGCTTTGATTGACAAAAAATTCGGCAGGAAAGTAGCATATATATTTATGCATAAAAAAATCAATAATTATATACTGAAATGAAAACAATATTAAATTTTTGTAAGTTATCAGATAATGACATACTGGAGACTTAAACAGAATTATGTATAAAGTGAAAATAAACAGCATAAAATTTAAAAAAACGACATTAGTATGTGATCCCCCTCATCTGTATACAAAGTTTACACCTCGTGACCATGCTTTCAATTAGGTAGTCAACCACCGCAGAATTAAGCAATCGCCATTCTTCTTGTAAAGCAGTTTCCAGCTCAAGAGTGGCTGGAGGTGGGAAAAAACGTGAAGATAAAGCGCGGCCGAGTGCATCCCAAAGACTTTCAAAGGGATTAAGGTCGGGCGAATATGCTGGCCACGCCATACGCGCAATCCCTTCACTCTCCAGATAGTCATCGACGATTTCAGCTCTATGGAGACGTGCGTCATCGTCTATTAAAACAAAAGTAGAGCCAACTGCTGCAGCGTATAATCTCACAATGGGTTCTAGGACTTCATCTCGATACCGGACAGCCGTCAAAGAACCCCGTTTAAAGATATGCATGTCGGTGCGGTATCCTAATGAAATCCCTGCCCACACCATAATGCTTCCGCCTCGAAATGTGTGATGTTCGGTGATGTTTTGGGACTGATTGCGTATTCGTTGTTCACGCCATATCCTTATACGCTTGCCATCTGGTTCCAGAGCAAATCTTGACTCATCAGTAAACATGACATTGCCCCAGTAAAACACATTCTAGTTGACATGTTTCCAGCACCACTGTAATCGTGCCCCTCTTGATTGGACGGATAGAGGAACACAAACTCGAGGTACCCGGGCGTACAGTCCACTCATATGTAACCTTCGGCGTACAGTAGCTGCAGATATCGGCCTTACCAATAGACGCTCTAACCATAGATGTCACACGTGTAGAGGTCGCTCTGTGATTTCGCTTGGCTACAATAGCAATATATCGATCTTCTGCGGGGGTTGTAACCCTTGGGCGATCGGCTACGGACCTTCGGACAACTTTCTGTGTGGTTTGGAATTGTTTTCATAAATGTGAAATTGCAGAATGATGAACGCCAAAGAAAAGAGCAACATCTGTGATCGACTGTCCTGCTTCTTGCGCCCCACAGCACGCCAGCGCTCAGAATCTTCCATTCGTCTTCTGAAAGTCATAGAAACACGTATGTCTTGAAAACAAATTGTACGAAAGTTTTAAACACCTTCTATCAGCACTTACAGTTAACTTCTGTAACCTTTCACAAAGCTGGCTTCTTATAAGACTGCCTTTTTTTGCATATTTCTTGACATGAAAGCGCGATTGGCTGTTACCTAACATATTTGCATACTTCCATCTACCTCTGCAGCGAATTGCATCCTCTTCAGTTCTGATTGGCTTCTGGAAATTAGCATTTTCCTCTCCGTGCTTAACTTTTGGAAGTGAGTGAAGATCAGTTTCTTCCAGACTGTGGGTGTTTTGTAAATTCTCGGCAATTTCATTCTTATCTTTATCTGCTAGTTTTTTCCTTAATTAGCTGGGGGGTCTTTTTTCTTCCTCACGTTTGGGGTGCAGCTGGTCCGGAATCTCTTTGTTTTATGTCTCTATTTTCATTCGTTTGTGGGAGTGTAGTTATCGGTTAAAGAATTAGTGAAAGTCTGGGATTGGTGAAGTTTAATTTTATACGGCATTTTTGAACCTATGGCCTCTAATGGGAGGAGAAACCGAGTTTTCTTCGGAGTTTTGCACGAGGTTAGAAGTTAGTCGGATTTAGAGACATTTGAGTTGCGAAGATGTAAAACAGTAAAAGAGAAAGTTCGGTGGGGCTTGACCTCCTGCAGTGGGCTTGCGCCTGCGGTCTGAAGCGAGGTTTCTCGCGACTTTCCGCTGATGAGAATTTTTTCGGAGAAAGTGCTCTACGCAAAATTTAATTTCACCGTTTTATCGTATATTTTGAGATATTTGAATAGTCATGTTAGAGGCTTTCCAGTTAGAATTGTTTATCATAGACAGAAGAGATTTATTCCAGCTAGATGTTTGTGCCGAAAGTGCTCTATGCAAAATTTAGTTTCGCCGTTTCATCGTGTATTTTGGAGAACTCCTTGGATAGTCATGTTTGAGGCATTCCAGCTGAAGGAACTTGTTCCAGATGGAGGTATCATGCAACCCTTTGTTCCTGAAATCAATGGACGCTTCCGAAAGTGTTTTGACAGGAAAAAAAAAATGGTCTTTGCTCATTTCCCAGGGGATTGGATTGGACACTAAAGATCTTTCTGTTCGGAAAATTGTCTACCTCTTAATGGACATATTTAAAGATTATTACATATTTAAAGATTATTATTCCTGGCTGATTCAAGAATTCATCTTTAATATCCTACACCTGTGATTCCTGAAATCAATGGACGCTTCTGAAAGTGTTTCGACAAAAAAAAAATTGTCTTTGCTCATTTCCCAGTGGATTGGACACTAAAGATCCTTTAATCCCGAAAAACTGCCTTCCTTCTGTAAATGATTTTTTTTTTTTTTTTTTTTAAGATTAGTTTCTCTCTTTTCTCTGTCTTCCCAAATGCCATGGTGGACTAGTTAATAACAATATATCCACATATATAAATTGTTATTACTTATATAAATTAAATATTGCTGGCTGATAATATTAAGAAGTGATTAAAATTTTAAGCAAATGACCAGTTATTTTGGAGGATTGAAATTTGTTACACCTGCTCTATATGAGAATTAGAAAATTTTCACTTTTAATTAATGTGAGTTGTAATTTTGTGAGACATGTGTGTTATTTTACATAGTAAAATTATGTGGTGGAATACTGATCAGTTTATCCTATATTTGGTATTATTATATTCAAGAATTTAATAAATGTGTTTGATTTAGAATTTAATCGTACTTGTTTATTTTGTGTGCTAACTTACTTTGGTCTGCCAAGTCACTCCATTTGTTTGAGCCGTAAGGCTTTTAAGAAAAATGGAGACTTAATTTACTTGGGATATTGTTTCTCTCTTTAACAGGGTATCACAACGCGCTCTTCATTATATAGTAGCCATGTATTCTTTAATTATTTGAATGTGTTTTAGGTTTAATGGTAATTGATTTTTAGGTGCCAGGATTCTAATTAAACTGATGATTAATTGTTCATTCATGGAACTATTTGATGTTTATGAATATTTCTTCTCTGGTGTTTGTGAGGTTTTGATGTAATGAAAATGAACATGTTGCTCTCGAGTTACTTACAGAAATGATTGAATATGTAGTTTATGGAATTTAAGTATTGTTTTTGTGTTTGAAAGATAATATTCTATTTTACACCAGTGAAGATTTATTCCTTCTTATTTTTCAGGTTAAGATTTATTTAGTGTGAGAATTTACTTTGGTTAAGTTAATTGATTTTAAGAAATGTTTTTTACGTAGCATTTGAGATAAATCATTCCAACAGTTCCTCCTACTTTACACAGTTCAGGTTTAGAAGGAGAATTATTATTCTTTATTTCTTTAGTAGAGTTTTGTCCGGCACCAAGTCAGTTAAGTTTTAAGTTTAAACCCCCTTAAATTTCAGCAATGTAACAATGTTTGAGTCTTCTCCGAAAAACAATAATAAAAAAAAGGGACAATAAAGCATTCAAATCTAATTATCCAGCTTCTTTGCACTGTACAGAAATAAAAAATAAATAAATTATTTATAATATAGTAAGTACGTATGAATTTTTATGATTTTTTCCACGAATCCCTTTTTATGAGTACTCGGTTATAACGAGCAAATATCGCAGTCTCTTCGTCATAAGCGAGTTCGACTGTATTTGTGTTCTAGTATTTGATGTTTAATGAAAATATCCTATGTTATATTGCTGTCTGTATGGATATCACTATGAATCAATTAATGCAAATGTTCTATTATATGTTGCTCATTGTATATTCCAAATCAAACTTAAATAAAGTTACATTTCTATTAACTTCGGAAAAAGACAGACAGACTAGGATTGCACTAAATTCGATTGTCAGTGCAGACAACCGCCGCTTGTTCGACACATTTAACAGCAGATTATTTAAAACACTACCTAAAATAAAAAAAAACAAAAAATTATCTAAATATTAAACTTTAAAAAAAAGTTCAAGTTTTAGCAAAGAAACGTTTAATTAAATTCATATTAAAATAAACTGAAATTTATTAAGTAGTATGGCGTATGGCAAATCGTACATTGAAGCATAATATCTCGATGGAAAGGAAGAAAAATAAAAATTACATACAGGATGCTATTTCATTCATAGCTGTGATAGAAGCGATTATTTTGTACTGAGGTATTGCATAATATAGGGCGTCAGAAACAACGTTCATTGAATAATGGTGTAAACACATAGAATAATTATCAGTTACGTGTATTTTAAATAGTGTGAATTAAATACTCTACAAACTATGTCAAATAGAAATATTATTTAAAAAGATACAGATATAAATTATTAAGTATATATATTGGTTCTTAAATCGCTCAGTTTTAAATTTAAAGATAAATTAAACATCATTTTGAAGAGCAAATGGCAAGCACCTCTGAAAATTTTCGACCTCCGAGTCGAAAGCAAATACCTCTGAGTAATTTTCGAGGTCAAATGAATGATAAATGGAAGACATTATGCAACACTTGGCAGGCCACGTGGACGGTAAATACTTTAGTAGCGTAACATAATGCTAATTATGACAAAGTATGGTTAAAGCAAGCAAATCTTTTAAATTAAATTAATGTTGCAGTTTCTGTGTCTTTCTTATGTTCGCTCGCTTAAGACTATGACTGATATTCAAAGACTCGTGAATTTCTCCTTCTTAGAAATATGTTACGTAATGCTCTTGAATGTCCAAGTTGAAGGTTCCATTCATTTGACAAAGAGGCAATGCATCACATTGGCAATAGATGCTACGAATATTCTAAGGATTTTAATATACAGTGGAATCCCTTAAAAAAAAAAATACCTCTTCTTTTGACAGGTGACTGTTGATTAAAAAACAGCCACTGTTCTCAGATTTATTTTTCCTAGTAAATTTTTTCTCTCCTAAAAAATTCATAGTTTCATTTTTAGGGATGAAATTCTAGATTTAAATTTGTGCGAAATTTACATCGACCATTTGCTGTCAAAATTTGCTATAATATAGCAACGGAAGTACCGCACAGTGCTCGAAAAAGTAAGTGGAAGGTTGAATCAAAAACGACATTGTCGAGTTCACAATTCACTTTGAAGCAGGAAAATCCGAGGCATGGCGGCTTTAGGATAGTTGAGTACGCAGAGCAACGCAGTGAACACATCTATTTGCAGAATAGGTTAAATCTTGAGAAATTCTCTTATTTTGAGCAAACGATCAGCTCTTTCATAACTCAATAAATTGTAGGCTAAGGTCTTAAATAATTAAACAGAAACAATTCTAAGTTTATTAAATTACTTCATGAATAAGACAAACAGCAAAATATATCAGTGTTTATGTTGCAAATAATACCCAAATGTAATTTTTAACAATGTTCAACTTTAAAAATGACAGGAAAAAATTAAAACATACAATGAAAATTCAAATCTGTTGAATTATCATCCAAAAATATTGTATTGTTACAGATATTACTTGTAATAACCAGACATTGTAGCAGTGCATTTCTCAGTTATTCTGCAACAGAATTTTAAAATAATTCCAAATTTTTCAGAGCCCAAAGGTGATCTTCATTTGTCTCCATCAGCTTATGCCAAAATAGTGAATTTCATAATTAATATGTAGACTACTATATATTTTCACAGTGATATTTATCACATTCATCTCTTCAATATTAAGGTGATATAAGTATTGTCTTTTGTATTTCAGCTATTACATGTAAACCTCCAATAGTACCTCTTAATGGTCGAGTTCTGGATACGGGCAGATACTTAGCAGGAGACTTTGTTCAATACACGTGCAATGCTGGCCATGTGATTGTTGGTGAGCCAGTCGCTATTTGTACTGATCATGGTGTCTGGTCCCAAGCTCCCCCTACATGTATGTATTTTATCTTACTTAAATTTCCAATATATGCTTTAGTAATAATTTAATACTGTGAAATTAGCAAAATAGTATGAAGGAGTTATTCTTTACCAACCATTCAATGCAAAATCCTTAATTTATATGATAGCTTTTCATTGATTTTTACAAAACAATTGGAATTTTTATTAAGTTCTATGGTTTAATATCTCAATTAAATTGTTTCTAGTGGAATTAGTGTAAAAAATTTTACATTGCTTTCAAAATTTTAAATTTGTAATAACTTAAATGCTACAGAATGTAAAACTGACTGTCAAAATATTATTTTGTAACAAAGTGTAGTCAAACGGAATTGCTGGAGAAGGTACTGAAATTCCATTTGAGAAGAATTTATATCTTAGTAGAAATTAATTGTAAATATTTATATATCAACACAATTCTTCTGTTGTTTATATAAATTATGCTGCATAGTGTTTAAAAAATATTTCGTAATCAATTATTAACGATTTATCATAGACCCTTGATTCTAATGTAACAAATAAATCAGAGAAGGTAGATTTTCGGACTACGATAATTTTAATCACATTACTCCTTTTAGTAAAAATGTACAGATTTTAATTTCTATATGGATCCCATAGCGGAAAAAGAAAGAAACGTTTTTTACATGCAAATTAGTGAGAATGTAGATTTTTAAAAAATGCCTTTTCGAGTCAAAAAAAAAAAAAAAAAAAAAAATGTGGAGCTACATACGTGGGCATGAGCACCGATTATAAAATAAACTTTAAAGAAATACTGATTTTAAAAACTTTTTAACTAACTAAATTTCATTTTTGTTTTAATTCCAAAAATACATGTTTTCGCTATATCTCGCTATACACTGGTGCGCAAAAATTAAGGACGAGACGGTTTTTTCAATATAACTTTGTACAAAAGCTTTCCAAATCAACACATTTAATACCGTAAGATCCCCAATACGTAAGGACATGAGTAATGTAAGCAACACTTACTAAAAGAGAAATCAGAGGGATAAAAAAAAATAAAAAGAAGCTTTATTGAAAAAGTAGCATGGAGCGCAATGCGACTGAAGCGCCGAAACATCCCTGTGATGGGTGTCCAGCAAGAAAAAAACATCCGGTCTTTAATAGGGGATATGATCTCCCCTGACTGCTAGGCAGGTTTCACAGCGTCTGCCCATGCTGAGAATTAGGGTGTCAATGAGTTGTTGAGGCATTGCTGCCCATTCGTCTTGCAGCGCCAATCGAAGCTCCGGAATCGTTACTGGTGGTAAGGTACGAGCTGCCAAGCGTCTGCCTAGAAAATCTCATACATGCTCGATGGGATTGAGATCCAGAGATCCTGCCGGCCAATCCATACGTTCAATATCCTCACTCTCTAAGAGCTGTTCGGTAGCTACTGTGCGATGACATGGTGCATTGTCGTCCATGAAAAGGAACTGCGGATCCATAGCGCCTCTAAAAAGACGCACATATGGAAGAAAAATCTCGTTACAATAACAGGTCCCGTTGATTGAACCTGCGTCGAAGATGTGAAGGTCTGTACGACTACCAAGCATGATGCCTCCCCAAACGAGAACACCGCCACCTCCATACCTGTCCTTTTCAATGATGTTCGAGGGATGATTGCGGCTTGCCCGCTCTCTCCAGATGAGTATGCGATGAGAATCGCTACTCAGACTGAATCTGCTCTCATCTGTAAAGAGTACTCGTCCCCATTCATTGTCTCTCCGATTCCGGTGTTCCCGGCACCACAGAGAACGCCTTCTCCGATGGGCAGGTGTTAGACGTACACACTGTACAGAGCATTGTGCAAACAGACCACCACCGTGCAGTCCTCTGGCCACGGTAAAACGCAATATCGGTCGTCCAGTCGCCTGTGTCGTGTGTCTGGCGATTTCTCCCGCTGTCTGCCGCCTTCCTGTTTCTTCTGGCCTGTAAGGCAATATACCGGTCCGGTCATCTGCGGGTGTGGTTCCTCGTGGAACGACCACTACTAAACCCCCGGATAGCTGTTCCTGTAGTTTGAAATTGTCTCCAAAGTCGTGAAACGATGCTGTGAGCAATTCCGATCTCTGCAGCCACACTTGTCACACTGCGGCGGCCTTCCTCCAACTTTCCAATGATTCGACCTCGGGTAAAAGCATCCAGATGTCGTCTAACAGATTGATTATTCGCCATTTCTCGCTGAGGCAGCAACTCGGTGTGATTTTAACTGCTATAACGGCGTGCAATCTCTTTGCCAGAAATACTGATCTTACACCGACAACATGCTTTATACTACTCAGACACTTCCCCCATTACGTCTATCTACCTGCATATCTGCGCATGTGCTACCGTACATCACCTTACTTAATCTCCTGATTGGTCTTTCTGTCCGCTCTGCCTCTTCGTTCAGCTGATATGCTAATTTTTCGACTTCGTCCTTAATTTTTGCACACCAGTGTATCTATCGCTATATCCGCTGAAACGATTTAAATGATATAATTTCACAGTTTTTTCTCACAGGGACAGTTTTGTATATTTAATAACATATTTTTTAAAAAATCTTTAGTAAGGCAAGGAACAATTTCATAATTAGAATTTTTATATAAAAGACCCTCTCATAAAAATTAGTATTTCTAATACTTTCATAAAAAGTATTACATAATTAAAATAATCATAATCTGAAGGCCTACCTTATTTGATCCGTTTCTAAATTGGAACCATTGTTCTACGATCATTTACTCAAGATTACACATTTTACGTATTTGTTCAAGATGGGGTATTTTAATATATTTTGTCGCACTTTCGTTTATAAACACCTTGTGTCATGTAATGATTTAAATGAGAAAATAGCTGAAAAAAATAAAACTTTTCATACAGAAAAATTTTACTGATTAAGCAATTTCATAAAGCTTGCCAAAAAAAAAAAAAAAAAAAAAAAAAAAAAAAAAGAAAAAAAAGAAAAAAGAAATAAAGGTGACGTTTACCAAAACTTGTTTGTGTGTGTGAAAATATTTCTCCCATAAATTACATAACAGCTAAATTACATTAACAGTAACAAAATTTTTCATGTCTGTATTAGTTTAGTAAAAGCAGCCCTTAAAACCGCATTCCGACTGGCAACACACAAATATTTTACGCGAATATATTATCTTAAATGCATTTATTATATTATCGAAGCATTTAAATATAATAGAAAAATTGAACTTCAAATTTATCTGCGTCCGTTCCTAAGGAGTATTTGTTAAGACATTAAAAAAAATTCTTTAATAATGTAACATTTTGGTAATTTTTTTACTTTAAGGTGACAATCTGCAAAAATTTCAAAACAGTGCTTAAATTGCGCAGGAGCCCACCGTAGCCCAACTCCGATTCTTCTCAATTTTTAAGATAAATTACAATTCCAGCCGGAGCACACCGGAGCCCTAAATAAGATGAACTCCGGTACTTCTTTTTACAAAACTGAGCCACAATTTCAAGGGAAAAAAAAATAGAATTCCTAACTTTTTATTTTAACAATAATCAGGCTTTGCATACTCTATTTCTTAGAAATACGAACTCGTGAGAGCATGAGACGTTCAAGTAAAGTCTCCTCACTCACATGGAGAAACCTTTCCCTTTAAGAAGGGCAATAAATTTGGGTGAGTTTGCTTAGGAACGCGTAAATTTCTCGCAATGCCATTGTATCTAGTGTATTGTTATCGATGGTTACAGTTAGTTATCTTCACTGGAAGGAAAATTTGTGTTCTTAAATGTGGCGTTAAATGACAGCAAGTACAATAGGAGTGAAATACTGAGATAAACTGCTCAAGCACGTCCTATGCGTCGTCTTCCCACAGTATCCACTAATGTAACCAAATACGGGGGGGGGGTGAAAAGTGTAACCAGCAACTTTACATTCATCCTTAGGAATCAGATTCAGGACTCATTTTACCCCTGATACACATTTGCTTGGTGGCTATAATTATATGAGCAGAAAGTTCGCGGTCAAACAAGACGTTCTCTCTCACAAAGATTCCCCTCTTTTTATGTTTCCACCCACTCATACCCTCACGTCCTCATTCTGTTTCGCTCTGTTTTTAGCATTATCTTAATTTTCATCAGCTATACTTTAAGTATATTTAATTTTTGTGATGATAAAAGAACTCCCCCCCCCCCTACGATCAGAGCTAAAATTGGACCAGCTCCGGTGCTTCTTAGTTTTTGTAATAAATCATAATTCTAGCCGAAGCCCTAAATAAGAAGCACTGCCTAAATGCCTAAATGCGCTTCTTTTATGTAACTGAATAACGATTTCAGTAGAAATTTTATCTCGAAAATTTTATTTTTAGCAATAAAATTATATTAGAAACGCTTATTAAATTTAATTTATCTCGTTCCATTTAATTTAATTTTAATTGTTTAATTACTTTAATCTTTAATTATTGAATTATTTCAATAAATAATTATTAATTATCTTATAATTATCGATTAAATTATAATTAATCATATAGTAATTATTGATTAAATAACAATTTATAAACATTAATTAGATAGCTTTTAATTAATTTGATAATAATTAACCATTTAACTTTAAAATTATTAGTGAGTTTAATAGTCATTTTATTTATTTATTTATTCTTGTTCCTCTTTGCTGACGAGCTTCCATAGGGCTCCGGCACTTCTGATTTTAAAAATTAAGCCTGCTTCAATACATTTGTAAAGTAATGCAGTTTAAAGAAAAAACAAAATGTTTATAAAACCATACAAATAAGAAAAGATACAGGTACTAATAGAAATCGTCTTTCCTTAGTACGCTTTCTACACATTAAAATTAATGATAAATTAGCCAATAATTGCTGATATATCTACAGAATATCTCAAGAAAATCATTAAGGTTTTAAGCTTTTCTTAAGGCAGTAATACATTAAGAAGAAAAGTTCAAGGCATTAAAAAGGGAAAAAATTTCCCCCCCCCAAAAAAATTAGTTTTTTATGCTAATAAACCGAGGGACAATTTTGCCCAGAAGGGCTATTAATTTCGTTTTGGCATTTTACGTTGAAACCTTAAATGCGTTGAATCACTTTTCAAATTGTTGCCAACAAATATTATCCCCTTGTGTTATATTGCATATTTAATGAAATTAAATAATGAAGAATCTGCATAAATGCATGTAAGTTTCTCGCATTCTGACAAAACAACGTTCCTTAGAGTCATCAAATTTTGAATAACGTAATCCTCCACCCGAATATTAATGCACCATATGGCAACCGTAAGTGTCAACCGTGGCTTCGGAAATTCCAAGCTGGAAACTACAGCCTAGAAGATAAACCTCTTTCTGGAAGATCTGTCGAGCTCATTGAAGACGTCCTGCGTAACACTGGAGGAACAAAATCTCGTCGTTAACTTTTAAGTATTAGCAAAGGAGGAAGAAAAATACATTTTAGATTAAAAAAGAAATTTGTTCATTTTAATTTTGAAAAGTAAAGGAAATATATAAAGATCATGGATATATATATCAAGGAAATATATAAAATTCATGAGATGGCCCAATAATTATAATTAATTATAATTAAAAATGGTACTTTTCCTCTTCGCCGGCGCAAATCTCGCCAAGCAGACTTTGTTGGCGACAACTTACAGTATACACATAAAAAATGTTAACAAATGCTAGTTCTAAGAATTTTTTATTTTGAAGGCATAAACATTTTAATATGGTTTATAATTTTGTAAAAAGCCAATAAATAAAGACAATAAATTTGTAAAAAAGACATTAATTTAAGAATTTACTATACTATCACGGTTCAACATCCTGGTATCACGTGACCCCATGTGATCGTTCACGTGCCGTTTCGTATCACGTGACCCCCAAGTTATCTCATCTCACGTAAACTACTATACAAAATCTAATTCTCTCAGTAATTATCTACATTAATTTCATGTTAAATCTTAATTTGGAATATAAGTTTAAATGCAAGAATTATTTCAATTCGTACAAATAGCTTACTCAGAAATTATGTAAAACCGTAGTCCTTTACTTCGCTAGTGCATTCTCATTAGAATTGCTGATTTTAACCCTTGATTTTGCCTTTTCTATATTTTCGCCTTCGGGTGAGCGGTGTGATTGCATCCTAATTGACTTAATTACCGCGAATGGTCTTAGGGCATAAAATTTAATTATCTTTGTAAATATTCTCTGTAATTGTATGCCAATATTGAAAGAAACAATCAATTTGGTAAGAACCGGCTGCGACTTGTTTTGAAAATGAGCCGTAAAACGTTACCAGCGAAGGTATTCCGTTTGGCATCAGTTGTACCATTATTTGACGACTTTATCGTTTGCGCCGGCAAAACGGAAAAGTACCTTAAAAATAAATATAATATCGTTTATAATTCATAATCTTTCATAATTTATAGTGCATCAATTCATTTAATTAATTACTGCAATGTATTAGTGAGAATAATCATTTTTTTCAGGTAAAGCTGCATGTGAATTTCCAGGCGAACCTTCTAACGGCCAAGTTATACCAACAAAATTCCACTACGACATTGGAGAATCTGTTTTAGTTGGATGTCATCCTGGATATCGCGTTCTAGGTTTCCAAAGGCTACGCTGTACGTCATCAGGTCACTGGTCTAGCCCATTGCCCCACTGCAGACCATATTTACAAACATAATTTCGGTCGTCTGGAAAATGTCCCTATTCTGTCTAAAATAATTTTAGACTAGTGCTAAAAGCAGTTTATAAATCGCAAATATTTTGCAGGAACTTCAGAAACGCATTTACAAAACATTCGCAGAAGGAAGAACTTAGAACAAACGGGGATCCAATTTTTTAAGATTTTTTTAATTTTCAAATGATAGTCCTAATATAGAAATGTATATAACTGTACCATAAAGCTATAAAAATATGAAAATACCACTATCGTGATCTTATAATGTTATGTCTTACATAAACATGGGGCAAATTATTTGTAATACATTTTCATTCTGATTGCTAAACTTAATTTTATGCACGTGACATTGTATGGTGAACCAAAATTAAAAAGAGAAATTTAATTTTATCTTGCAAAATATAGTGTCTCACAAAAGTGATGGGACACTTGTGCTTTACAAAAGGAAATTGCAATAAAATAAAATAAAAAAACATGTAAAATTTTTTGTGGGTGTGTTTCATACTTAAATTTAGTAACAATTGTTACATAACATACATTTTCTCGAAATATTAAAATATTAATTTAATAAAAATACAATTGTTTAGAACGGAGCAAAAAATGGCTCACATAAGTGATGGGACACTTACTTTTCCATCAAATATTTATCCAAAAATTTTACTTTTTAAAAGGTTTTAATATTTTGTTGGATTTCCTTTTACTTTTAAAACATGATTTAATCTTCTTGGGATGGATTCGACTAATTATTTTGTGATTTCTGGAGTGGTTTTACCCCATTGTTCTTGAAGCACCGATTTTAATTGTTGTTTTGAAAAAATAGTGTGTTTGCGAATTCTTGATTCCAATTCTTGCCAAATATTCTCTATGGGCTTTAAGTCTGGAGATTGTGGTGGTGTTTTTATTATTTCAGGACAGTTATACAGCAGCCAGAGTCTAACGTTCAAAGCAGTGTGTTTGGGGTCATTGTCCTGGTAGAATTTAAAATCGTTATGAAGGTTCAATTTTCGTGCTGAAGATTTCGAATTTTGATTTAAAATGTCAATATACTTGTACTGATCCATTATACTGTCAATAAAAACAAGATTACCAACTCCAGCGGACGACATACACCCCCATACCACAATTCCTCCTCCACCATGTTTTACTGTTGGCACCAAGTTCTGTTTGCGAAATTCTTCCCTGGGTTTTCTCCACACCAAGATTCTACCGTCAGAACCAAATATATTAAATTTACTCTCATCAGTAAATATAACTTCATTCTAGTAATCAGAATTCTTATTTTTATGTTGGATTTTGCGAAAGCCAGTCTGAGTTTTCTATTCTTCGAAGAATTTTTTCCTGGCTGCTCTACCGTGATATCCAGTAGATCGAATTACTCTTATAATAGTCTCAGAATTAACAATTACTCCATATAATGCTTGTAAATCAGCAGCAACTTTAGGAGCACTCATTCTTGGATTTTTTTTAATATTCGGAACGATAATTCGCTTTATTCCATTGGATAGCTTTTGATGGTCGGCCAGGTCTTCTTTTATCCTGAATCATATGATTCTTTTTATATCGTTTAATGATATTGAAAACTGTTGAATGACTCAAGTTAACTGTTTCAGCAGTTTCTCTAATAGATTTTTTAAGTTTAATATGCAAATTAATAACTAATTTTCGAATTTCAGGCAAAGTTTCTTTTCGTTTAGCAATCATGGCTGCACAGAGCTAAAAAACACAAAACTTCCAGTAGTAAAGTAGAGAGAAATACTGCAGACGATTTCATAAATTATTGCCCATTGCTTTTGAGTAAAAATAAATACCCCAAAAGATATTTTTACTGCTTACTTCAGACGATTTTTGTTGCATAGTACGTAGTGTCCCATCACTTATGTGAGCCATTTTTTGCTCCGTTCTAAACAATTGTATTTTTATTAAATTAATATTTTAATATTTTGAGAAAATGTATGTTATGTAATAATTGTTACTAAATTTAAGTATGAAACACACCCACAAAAAATTTTTACATTTTTTTTTAATTAATTTTATTACAGTTTCCTTTTGTAAAGCACAAGTGTCCCATCACTTTTGTGAGACACTGTATGTATTTACATAGAACTGTAATCATTAATGAAATTCATCAACCTGCTATTCTTCTTAAAAAAGAACCTGGTGTGTACACCACATGACTTCCTTGTACGGAATATTAAATTATACACAATTTTCCTGCATTTCATTTAATTACATATTGAATTAACAGTTAACGAATTTTGAATTAAATCTACTTCGTCGATAGCGCATAAACCACAATAAAATAAATGCACTCTTTAAAGTTCACTATATTTATTTACCATAGAGACCATGCTAGGTTCACTTAACAGCATTACATCGCATTCATTTTATAACAAAAATTATATCATCTGAAGAATTACCACATGTTCTATTCAAATACTATACATCTGAAGAATTACCACATGTTCTATTCAAATACTATACATCTGAAGAATTACCACATATTCTATTCAAATACTATAATAAATCTAAAAAGATGTACAAAAGATATTAAACAAATAAAAAAGAAAGAATTTTTCACAGACGATTCAGTGCTGCTTACCTAATGCGCATGCGCTACTAATTAATTCAGTTCTCAATTCGCGGCAAGGCAAAAATAGATAAAAATTCAAAATATTTTCATTAAAAATTAAAAGATATGAAAAACATAAAACACTAAGTACAGTTAAAACAATTTAAAAAATAATTTTACAATTAAAATTACAGTTTCTACGCAAAACCAAGCTAATAACTTAAATGATAATTCCAGAAAATAATTTAATTCGCAATAATAAAAGAAGACCTTATTTTGTTGTTGCGAAGCTTAGTTTCTCTGGATTGGCAAACAAATTCAATATTCTGCTAAATTTCAAATGTAAACAAATATGGCTGCATAGGCTTAGCCGCACTAAAAAAAAACTTTTAAATTGTTGTTAACTTTATAATTATTGCATGTAGGTTAACTAAAAGCATAAAAACCTTAACCGGAAGATACGAACAACACAATAAAATCATTTTTAAAGGAAAAAATGCACAATTTACAAGCATATAAAAATAAAGACACTGAGCTCACTGAGCCGAGTAACAGAGTAGGTATATATATATATATATATTTATATACTTTTGGTGCGGCCGATTGCAACCAAAATGGGATACACATTTACATGTTATAGCAATCCTATATACAAAATTTCAACGTTCTGAGGGTACTCGTTTTTGAGTTATGCGAGATACATACGTACGTACAGCCTCGCCGAAAAAAAATCTCTTCAGACTTCATTTTAAATTAGTTTTATATTTTTTTAGGAGGAGAAAAGAGTCCTTTATTTTGTCCTTACGTACAGATGTCACGCAAAAACATCGTTAAATTGCATTCGATAGCGGTTAAAATGAACATTTTCGTTGAAATATGATACCCAAAATTTTTCGTGATTACAAAACTTCCTTTTTTCTTCGTACACTATCAAATACCCTAGCGCCTATCCTATCTGCTGTCACAAGAATTCCTGATGCAAGTCCAATGTATCTACGCAGCAGAGAGTTTCCTTCTAGGCACTCATCTAATTTTCTAATATCCAGCCATCACTTGCATGAATATGGAAAAAGCTGTCATCTCAGAACACAACAGATATCCACTCTGCCGTTCAGTGGGCTCTGACTTAACGCCACCAGTCGCAGATGGCGGAGATTTGGAGTTAATGGTATGGTCGTTACAGGCCATCTTGCTTGGAACTGTACCTCAAATAATCGATTTATTATGGTTCTCTGTGTCACTCTAGTGTCGATCCTGGAGTACATAAACAATCTTCACAGGACCAGAGCCATCGTTTATTCAGTGGTTAGTTCAGGCTCGGCAGGAACCATATGGTACTGTCTTATCTGCCCCAAGGTTGTGGAGACGTTACATAGTTGATAATGAAGGCTGTCCGAGGCGGGATGGGTTTCCCTCGATTGGTGTAGAAGGACGGCGTAGTCAACTATGTGACTTTAAAGGTTTGGAGATTTTACACTGTTGAGAGGTAGTGCTGTCCCCCTCCAGTTTAGTTTTTAGTATGCCTGGTGTTTGAGATCCCGCCCTGTGGATCGGTTAAGTTCGGTTGGCCGTCGAGCGACTATTTTTATAGAATAGCGAAATATTTTTTTTATAATCTGTGAAAATTTCAAAATTTTATGTACTATACATTTTTAGATGCTGAAATTTGAAGTAATGGACATCAAATAGTTGAAAAAAATCAAGCGATTTCAAAATTTTGACAAGTTCGAAAATTCGCCAAAAATTCAGAAGTTAAGTTTGTAACCCAACGGCTTTCAAGCGCAAGGTCACGACAAGACAGAGTTCAGAAAAAGGTAAATGGCAACAGTAAGAAAACGTTTACATACACATCTGCATACATACATGCATGTTTTTTAATCCGGTCCCGATAACAAAAAAGTACCGTTTTCTTTTCCATGTCTATCTGCAATACAGAATGATGATCCAAGTTGGGTGAGTTACGATGATGCTGATTTATTCAGCAGCAATATGTCATTCAAAGTTATCTCTCAAACAATCAAAAGGATTCATATAAAGGGCGCACTTTCACCATGCACTCGATTCTCATCTCCTGAAACGTATTCTCCAGTAGCCTATCCCGGTAAAGTCAAACGTTACCATCCATGAAACGAGTGGTCCAGCGGCGACTGACTGCAGCATGTCTAGGAATCTTGTCATACACCCTTAGATTGTTAGATTGCCATTTTGAATTTCATACACTTCCATGAATCAGTCTATACTTAGGTCTTTTCAGAATACCTATAAGTGAAGTAATGTGAAGTTCCTTATATAAAAGCAGTTAGGTTAGCGCTAAACCCTGTCTGATAGAAACGTTTCCACTTGTATGTTCCCCATCCTGATGTTCCTCCAAACATTGGCCCAGTGGTTAAGACGGATGAAAACTGGGAATTCGATCCTAGGTGAATAGGCTGGCTTCATAATTAGTTTTTGTGTTTTTCCACATGTTTAATATGAATATGAGCGAATTTCCCTTAAGAAGTACTTGCCGAAGGCATCTCTTTCCTCAGGCAAATAGCTCTTAGTCAGAGTTCGAACACATTTCTGCACACAATTTTTAAGGTCCATTAATGGAAAAAAAAAAAAAAAAAAAATAAGGACCTATCAGCAAATGTAATAATTAATAAAAAAAAATTCAATTAAAAATATTACCTATACCTG